CCCAATTGCTGGGTTTGTCCCTATTTTACCCAGCGCTGGGTTGTATTTAACCCAGCATTTTTTAGAGTGTACCCATAATTTATTCCTAAAACCAGAGGGAACAATAGCTGATTAACAAGGGTGTAGAAGCACCTATTCCTGATTGTAAGCCTAAAACTGACATTTCCTGAAAAGTTATCTCTCAATTCTGATTGGTTGATTGGAATGATGTTCCTGAACATGTTGTACTTGGTCAAATCACGCTCACCTTAGAATCATAGGCGGAAATCCCAGGGGATTATAACCTTTTATACTTTAAATAACTTTGTAAGTAGTAAAACAACACGAACGCAAACGGGGCAAAAATGAGTTTTAAGTTTAGAAATATTTTGAGTCTCCCCCTCCCATGCCTCACAGTGCTTTGGTCCAAATGCCTGCTTTCCTCTTTTACATAACCTAAGTGTTGCCAAGTCGCGGTTTTCCCACAGAATTGGGCTACTTTATTTGTGTCCCCTTCAAAAATTACTCTTGAGAAATTTTAAGTTTCCCCCTCCCCCTTTACTGTTCGAAGAAATGTACAATTCTAATTTAGAATGCTGCTTGAACTGATACCAAGCGAGAGCACACATGAACTGTCATGCCACTAAAGAGCTCCAAAATGATATTTATAGTTCGAAATGAATAAATGTAGCAGAGTTTGAATGCTGAGACTTTGTTTCCTATAAAGTAACCTGCTCTGTCTTGTCTGGACCCTGGCGGCCTATGTGAATAGATGCGTTCTGATTATAAAGTAAGCGCTTCAAACGATTAAAACAGAACGAGTATTTAATAATTTTAAAATTCTTTCTAACTAAATCTAAAAGTATGGAAAGCACCAAGGGGTGTAATATGTATTTTGCAGAAATAGGCCTGGATGAACAAACTATTCAAATATGGCTTTCAAAGAAAAAAAAATTTAATAGCACGATTTTTGCCCATTTTCCCTGCTTTGACACCGTTGTTTAATACTTTATGTTTTTAGACTCAATATTGACAAACGCTCAGCGAACTTCAGCACAACCTTTCAATGTACATCCACAATAATTGACAGAAGGGAAAGGGTTTCGGTTTTTAAGATGCATTGTACTCATTCTTGTGTAAGAATGAAGGAGAGGTTTATTGTGTTTACCTCGCAGGTGTTCATCTCACCACTGGACCACTGCCATACTAATACACAACAACACAATTAGAATCTTTTCTCTGAGTGCGCAATCCCATTACGGAGGCCGCAATGACATAATTGCAGTTTTGCCACTTTCAGCAGTGTTTATCATTCAGTGCCGAAATGGCTCATTATTGAATTCAACTGCTCAGCACAGATAAAACCGTGAACGTGATGAATGGAGCTGTCAGTCACTTCCTCAAACCAACAGTACAGTCAAGAGAGGTTTAATTGCCTCCAGTGAGCTCCCTGGCCCCTCAGTCTCGCACTCGGGCTCTTTCCTCTAACACACAAATGTCGCAAAACAGCAGATATACACCATAAACACAGATAAAAACAAAAACAGATTTTTCCCCCTCGGTTTTTATCCGACTAAACCCAGAACATGCACTTTAAAAAATGCTGGGTTGTTTTAACCCAACTTTGGGTCAAATATGGACTAACCCAACTGTTGTTTTAACCCAACTTTGGGTCAAATATGGACTAACCCAACTGTTGGGTTAGTCTATATTTGACCCAAAGTTGGGTTAAAACAACCCAGCATGTTTTAGAGTGTGCTCACGTCAATCAAAAAATAAATTCAGATATAATAATTTGAACAAGTGTTCAGTTAAACAAACAGTGGCTTATATGTCTTTAATGTAGCCCATAACTGTCATGAAGACAGATTATAATTTTGTTAATTTTGTCTTTCATACAAAAATTCCAGTATCATATATAGTTTGTAAAAGGCCTATATTACCTATTACATATGTTGGGTAAACAAACACAATAACTCAACCAAATTAACCAAAATGTTGAACTGTGTTCTTGAGAGCACAGCTAAAAGTTTATTAACTAGTTTTTTTAATGTATTTATTAACAGTCAATGCTTTAAGATTTATGTCTATACAGAAATGGACTTTCAAAAATGAGTTAAAAATGGAACAACTAGCCCCGGTTTCCCATTCTTCCAGCTTATAATAAAAGCTCTAAAAAGTTCTCAAAGTTAATATGTTGGATATTTTACCAGACATGTTTTTTCAAGTAAAATCAAATGAGGCTTAGTATATAATTCAAGTCATAAATATAATTTAATGTGACTCGGCATGGCTACATTAGCATCTCATTTATTTTTAAGGGTCAAATCAAGAGGTAACTGTATAGTTTCTTAGTTCTTCATTCTGATAGAAAAACGTGGACCTTAATATATTCACGGTCAACATTATTCAATTACATTTTTTCTAGTGTTATTAGTTGATGAGAAATCATAGAATCAGACGTGAACGGTATAATATAAATATGTGATAATGCAACTGGGAAAACGTTTAAACCGGAACGACAAATTCAATAGAAAACTTTACATTAAAACACGGAAACTGCAATAAACTCGCAACAATTTAAGGCGTCGTGTAAACTATGTGACCAGACTCAGTGTGAAAAACAGAAATTAATGTAGGCTATTTTATAGCGAAATAAAACGTAAAATGTACCATAGTAATACAGTCATTCACAAATCAAACAGATATAATGAAAATAAGAAAATGTGAATTTTACCCGAGATTACACAGACGCGGTTTTTTAAGTAACACATTTAAGTAACCAAGAATAGTCAAATAGTGAAATAGACAGCTATTTACTATTTTAAAAGTCCCTTTTATTTTTTCGACCGCAGCAATTTTGCGTACCATTTCTTAACGGAAACTTGTGTAATTGTGTGTATCAGTTAAAGTCAGTTTTGTGTTTGTATCAATAATAATAGTGCTCAAGAGTTTGAAAACAGCTGGCAGCAGTTAAACCAGCTGTAGAGCAGCTGCATACATCTGTGAAGATGTGGCATTGTCATGAAGAAGCTGCCACATTTTCATAAAACTAAGATTAGGAGTGTTCATTTGGCTTTGAGCTGAGTTTTCTGCTTCAGTGCATCAGTGTCAGATGTCGCAGTGACACTCAAAGGTAGTGACACTCAGGCATAGAGACAATACTCTGCCCTGAGGAGGAGATCCTGACAATGAATGACTGACCACAAACCTTGACATACTGATTTGGGCTCACAATAATGGGCTCACTATAAAATATGGAGCGCACTTTCTCATTAGTGAAGTGAAAATGAGATAGAACACGAGACGGGAGACAATGCAGTCTTTATATGGATAGACTAACGTGTATTTTCCTTGAATGCTGTCAGATTTGCATAGCCCGGTTAAACATTAAAATTTAAAAATCCAAAAATGATTGTGCATTGGTTAGCTACAAAAAAATTAAAAATTAAACCTACACGTGATGGATTGATGCATTTACATTGTTCATTTCATACATATTCATTGTGTAAATGCATGATTTCAGAATCAATTAAAAATAAGAGTGAAATGAAGTTAAAATTAGTTCAGAAATAATGTAAGTACCTCAGATCAACTATTATTTAATCTTCTGCAGACATCCGTCTTTTCTATAGGAAAATGCGACAATTGAGTGGACATGAATACATTTGTACATTCATAATTCATTTGATTGTCACGCATGATCTAACTTGTGATTTTATTTGTACATTTATCAAATACCAAGAAGTCCAACCCTTTATATTCCTGAAACTGTAAATATGTTCATTATTTTAGAGTACATTGACCACTAGTGGCTGTTCAATGCAATGATTCACAATTGTTTTATAACACAAATGGTAAATTTTGAATCAACAAGTGAATTTTATTTGTTTGAGAGTAAAAAACAAAAAAGACAGTAAGGCGAGAAACAAGCCATCAACAGTGAAGACCGTCAACATTATTTGCTCTGGGAGAAATTATTTTGAATTTCCATTTGAAAAGACACATTCACTTTCACAGAGACCTCATAAAAGCAGTAAAATGGAGTTTAGAATAGACATACAATACTATGCTGGAATAGGGTTGTCAACATTCAATGTAATGTAATAGCTCGATTTACATGCTGGCATCAATCAAATAAACAAAAAATGTCCATGATTTCAGGCACTTTGGCTCAAAAAACAGAATGTTACACACAAAAGAAGAACGAACAGCCCTTAAAGTGATGATCGCATTAAAAATCTATCAGGGCAGACAAAATCTCCAACATTTGCTGGATCTAAAATGACTAATCAAATTCATTTCAGTGAAACATGTAAGATTGATTTTGTAGTCAGCAGCGCCTCCTACTGGTACAAATACAAGAGGCTGATTCATCATTAAGGTGTTTTAACTTTAATCCGTAGCCTCTGGCCAAAATATGAGTCCATAATAGAAAAAAAATCCCCTATTGTCCTCACAATTCAAAATCCACAGAAAAGATTGGTTTAGAACTGTTTTTGCTAGTAAACGGTGCTTGAATTATGGTAAATTCTCTCCAGTTTCAGATGAGACAACTTTTTTAGAAAGCATTATTATGGATTAGGGACTCGCATTTTAGCTGGAAGCAGTGGTTAGAATTAAAAAATATCTTAATGACGAATTTGTTTCTTATAAACACACAATATTTAATTTCACAAGACATTAACTGATGGACTGGAGTGGTGTGGATTATTGTGATGTTTTTATCAGCTGTTTGGACTCTCATTCTGACGGCACCCATTCACTGCAGAGCATCCATTGCTGAGCAAGTGATGCAATGCTACATATCTCCAAATCTGATGAAGAAATAAACTCATCTACATCTTGGATGGCCTGGGGGTGAGGAACTTTTCAGCAAATTTTCATGTTTGGCTGAACTATTCCTTTACCTTTTAAAATGCCAGGGCCAGTACAAGTTTAAGTTTGGTTGAAGGCATTTGTGGCATAATGTTGATTACCACAAAAATTATTTTCTTTAAAACATACATATACATCCACACTTACAGTGGCACTAAAAAGAAAACAAGGGACAAGTTGAAATTATTTTTGTGGAGATTATCCCGTGCCATTGTCTAATTCACTCTTATATATAAAGTTTCAAAAAGGTTTTTTTTGCAAAGATGCCATATAGAAGAACCATTGTCTTTACCCCAAAAAACTTTTCAATGAAAACAGTTTTTGTCTTGAGTGTGAAGAACATTTTAACCGTCTTAAGAACCTTTTTTACCATTATAAAAAACCTTTTGTGGAATGGAAAGTTTCCATGTTCAAGGTGCTTCAATGGAACCATCAATAATAAACCTTAATTTTTAAGAGTGTTCAACATCATCCCTAGAATAAGCATCTACTCATTTCTACAATAGGAAGTTATAGCTGCTAATATAAGGGGTTCAATATGCCTAAAGGATTTGAACAGTTAAGTCACACTTAAAAATAGGAAAGGAAATATTGTAGGTCAAAGGTGTTCGGCTGACTAAATCGTTTGGGAATCACTGCAATAAGTTACAAAAAAAACCAAAAAACACCCAACCTAACGTCACTTTTCTTCATCAATATGTTCAGCTGTGTTGGGTCAGAGAACTGATCCTTAAGTGATGGGACGTACCGTCTGAGGACGGTGTTATGTTAGTGATACGGAGGTGAGGATTAGGGATGGGGGCTGGACACACGTCTTTCCCGAGCTCTGGCGTCTCAGGCAGTGTGAACACGATCTCATATCGGTGCTGTGTTTTCAGGAAGCCCACCTGAGGAGATGGAGAGAAGCAGAGAGGTTATGGTTGGGTGTCAGCAGGTCTATGATGATATGAGATTAATGAGTCGAACTGTTGTTTGCACTTGATCTGAGATCATAGTTTACTGTGATAAATGATGTTCATGAAATCTTAGCTGATAATTGATAATTCATTTAAGAATGATAATTATAGTTAGCTGATTTCATTATCAAAATCAGCCTTGACTGATCAATGATGAAATCATAGTCAACTTAGTTCAATGCATTTAGAGCCAAACAATAATTTATTCAATCATAGTTGACTTATTAACCCACTAAAGCCTGATATGAAATAATAGTCAGAAAAATCAATTTTTTATTTAAATGGAACAGTTGAACTTTTACAGAAAATCTAAAAAATGCATGTGGTTTTCGTTGAATATCATTTGATGCATCAGGCTTATATGATTAATAAATTATGATATAGTGAGAATACTCAAGATGGGAAAAAATGTATTCAGAGGCCCAAAACTGAGGAAAAACATGCAATTTGGTGCAATGCTGATATTTATATGCTCAAAAAATAAGATGAAATCCCGATAGCTTGTAATGTAAATCAATGAGATCTTAATTTTAGGAGCACGAAAGACATGTTTTATAATCTATTACATGATCCACTGATGTAACTGGATGAAACTGTTTCACAGCCTAAAAACTTCTGTCAGATTTAAAGTTCATTATTGAAGCTCTTACTAACCAAGGAAGGAAATCAGGATGATATTTTGAAATAAAAACAATGGGAACTGGAAAAGTGGGAAAGACAGTGACAGAGCTCATGGCAGGACACGTCAAACTGCATCTGTGTCTCAGTGAAGGATGACAGAATCATATAACGTCTTATCTGACCAGAGCCCTCATCAAAACGCAATAATCAAATAGAACAGACACAGTCCAGAGGTACAGGTGTTTATATACTGCTCAACGGTGCTGCAGCTGGTCTCCATGGCAACACGGGGCAGTAACAGGGCAGTTTCAGAGAGACATCTGCAATGAAAAGAGTCAGAGACTATGACACCCGCTGTGGGGTGAATGCTAGCATGATTGTGTATCTTGTCTTAGATATTTACGAGTAGGAGGAATGCAAACACTGAGTCTCTGTGTGATTAAATATGTTCAAAAAGTCACTGTTCTCACAACAACAAGGAACTTGTGTGATTGGAGCTTCAGTAAACTATGAAGGGGGGGGTCTAATGCTATTTCATGCATTCTGAGTTATTTACACTGTTAAAAATTGTTGGATTCTCATGCTAAACATGGCCAAAGTTTCAAAAAAGAAGTTGGACGTATGACTGAGTATTTCTGTGCCAAATACACTCCTTCTGGGTTCGTATAAGTTTCGGAAAGTTTTTGAGAAGTATGGCAGAAATAACTCGAAATACGTTTTTTTTGGAGTATGGCCATGTATGACACATAAAGGGCAGAATTCCGTGTATGGGCACTTCTCCTGGAAGAGCATGCAAACATCAACCAGAGCGAGAGCAAGAGTTACCAAAGTCGTCGGCAGCGATGCACAGGACTTGCTCAAAGAGAATGTCTTCAAAGAAGTATTTTTGGATGTGAGGGAAAGATAACGTCTCGGGTTACTCATGTAAGCATGGTTCCCCGAGAGGGAACGAGATGCTGTGTCCTGGTGGACACTTTGGGGAACGCTGTCTGCGTGACTGGTACCTGAAGCATGCGTAAAACAACTCCAATCCTATTGGTCCATGTGGCCCGTGACATCATAGGCGGGTACCCGAAAGTATAAAAGGGGCACCTGCTGAATACGTCACCAACTCAGTTGTCTGAGGAGACGTAAACAGGCAGGCCGAAGGCATGGCAACGGGATGCAGACAGCGTTCCCTCTCGGAGAACCATGGTTATATGAGTAACCTGAGACGTTCCCCTTCTAGGGAACTCAATGCTGCGTCCTGGTGGACACTTTGGGGAACGATATCCAATCACGCCATGCCAAGGCGCATGCCTGTCCACCTGGTGAGAGAGCACCAAGGAGGTGACAGACATACACCAAACCTTTCCTCAGAAAGGCCTCGGGCCGCTCACATAACTTGATAAAAAGAGGGAGCCCGATACCAGATAAGGTTGAACACCCTAACCAAGCTAAGAACACAGCCATCCTCAGATAGCTATGCTATGTGAGCAATGGTAGCCAGATACATAAGACCACTGAGAGGCTGGAAGCCTAGAGGAGTTCTCAAGATTGCCACCAACAATCCCAGCAAGAACACAGCTATCCGCAGAAAGCTATATCCAAAGGGTCTTATGAAAAGGAACTTCCTAAAGAGCTGCCCAGACCAAGGGAATGACTATCTACTTAAACCCCGCAGGGGAGATAGCACTGTCTAAGCAAGGGCTCAGGGAGACCGCTACTTAAACCCCCTAGGAAGGGGAGCAGTCACATAGCTATCCACAGATAGCTATATCCCTAGGAAGGGGCTACAGGACCAAAAACTAAAACCCCTGGTAAACCTACCTGTGAAGCTGCCCAGACCACAGAGAGTGGGCAATCTACTTATGACCCTAGCAGGGGAAATAGCACACTCTAGGGTCCCCAATCCATGTCAGTCCCACAGTAGGCTAGCTTTTCGTTCACCAATATATTGACCAGAGGCTCACAATAGGAAGATCCAGACCATAGTAATGATTCGCTAAGGAGCGAACACATAAAACCATAGTCCAGATCAAAGCCTGATGCAAGCAACGGTCATAACACTAGGTGGCTGGACACAGCTATCCTCAAATAGCATTTCCCTCAGATAAGGCTGAAGCTCGCCCAGGCCATGAAGTGGGCCATCTACCTAAAACCCGAACAGGGGAGACAGCGCAGTCTAGGCAAGGGCTCAAGGAGACCACTACTTAAAGACCCCACAAGGGGGAGCAGTCTCCAAGCTGGAACACAGCTATCCTCAGACAGCAGATTCCAAACGAGGCTTTAGCGCTTACCTGAGACAGTTTGTACCCAAGGGGAACTAAACCCAGTTATAAACGCCTGGCTAGAACATAGCTGTCCTCAGTGCTGCTCATATGTAAGTGATGCAGTTCAAATCTGGCTTGTGTCATTGTGTCAGTTTTTCCTCTTAAAATCCCAGATACAGCTCCTGGCATGAGTCCTGTCTTGCCATTATGTGTCTTCTCACACAATGGCAAGGCTAGAAGTCAAGTAGAATATGCTGACCACAGGAAAGAAGCTGAAGCTTTGATGTGAGCTGAGAAATGAAATCAATGTTCTTCCTGTAATATGAACTCATATTCGTGACTGAAGACCTTCAAATGAAGCTAATGAATAACCCCAGCTATAGAACTCGCTCTCACCTTCACCAGGAAGTTCCCGTTGGACTCGGGTATCACCATGACGACGGAGTCGTGCAGTTTCTCCTCAAAATGCACATGAGAGTGAGCGGCGGCGGCTGCAGCAGGTTCCTCAGTGAAGCGAACACACCCCGTCTTAGACGACGCTGCAGGAGGAACAAAAGCACTAATTACACATTGGCCGCAGGTTTATAGACATCCAGATTGTGAGTCGCTGAATGAAAATGTTCAGCAAGAAGCTTTTAAACTTGAAATTATTCAAATCAAACTTGCCATCTGACACCCTGAAACACCTTCAGTCTAATATCAGAGATCTTTTCATTACTTTAGTCAAAAAGAAAGATATAGCATAATTGGGCTTACATTAGTCTGGATGTGCATTGAATTTACCAGCTTCAGTTTAAAAGGCAAAAACTGCATTTAAGTAGATTAATACAAAACCAGGTCAGATTAAAACACTTGGATCAGTGAGAATAAAGCTGATGTGTACAATAACCCCAATGCCTTCAAGGTCTTACATGTATTAAAACAAAATCTGTTTTTAATTTAAAGGAAAAGATCACTCAACAATGAAAATAATTTGACCCTCTGGCCATCCAAGGTGAGTTTGTTTCTTCATCAGAACAGATTTGGAGAAATGTAGCATTACATCTCTTGCTCACCACTGGATACTCTGCAGTGAATGGGTGCCGTCAGAATGAGAGTCCAAACAGCTGATAAAAACATCACAATAATCCACACCACTCCAGTCCATCAGTTAATGTCTTGAGAAGTGAAAAGCTGCATATTTATAACAAACATTTTTTGGCTTTAAACCCTTACTCCTGGTTAAAATACTTAGTCCATAATATTGCTTTCTGCAGTGAAAATGTTGTCTTGGCTGAATCGGGAGAGAAATATGCACAGATCAAGCACTATTTACAAGTGAAAACAGTCCAAAACAGTTCTAAACATATAGGTGGGTGGATTGTGATGTGAGAGGACAAAAGGGCATTGACTTTTTCACTGAATCAAGCCAAAAGCGATGGTTTAAATTTTGTCTTGATGTATTTGTTTCTTACAAACACGCAGCTTTTCACTTCACAAGACATTAACTGATGGACTGGAGTGGTGTGGATTACTAGTGGATTATTGTGATGTTTTTATCAGCTGTTTGGACTCTCATTCTGACGGCACCCATTCACTGCAGAGCATCCATTGGTGAGCAAGTGATGCAATGCTACATTTCTCCAAATCTGTTCTGATGAAGAAACAAACTCATCTTGGGTGGTCTGAGGACGAGTACATTTTCAGCAAATTTTCATTTTTGGTTGAACTATTCCTTTAAGCTTTGGATCAAACAAGCACCTAAAAAGAGATTAAAAAATTATGCAGACAACAGGATATGACCTTATGAATCAAGTATGCAGATATGCAGGCCTAACAAAAGGAATATGGTTGTTTTTAGTTTTAGTTTTAAAGTTTGTCTCAATCTTTCTTTCCCACAGGATTTATTAGGGACTGAAAAACTGGTTTCAGGTTCACTTGACGTGGATTTAGGGGATGTTTATGTAAGATGCATTCAAAAACAGCTAGATAGAGCGCAACCAAACAAGAATATAGGAGCCTTTTGAAAGTGTGATTATTTTTTAAAAGATGCCAGCTTTTACTGTGCAAGCGGTCTAACACTTACAACACATTCAATGTGCTAATTAAAGCACCAGCATTAAAAATAATGTTCTTAATGTTCTTCTAGGCTCTTCTTTTTAACCGTCGGATTTAATAAAGCAAGTAATCAGGCCCTCAGGGGTGCTTTCTCAGACACAGATCAAACCCCGTCTTGAACTAAAGTGCATGATCAATACTAATTCTTCATTTAAAATCCATTTGTGGTGCAGGATAAGGGTAAATCTATGCTAGAGAAACCACATATTAAGTTCAGCTCTCAACAGTCTTCATGCACAAACACTACCATTCAAAAGTTTGGGGTTGGCAGGATGTTTTTGAGAGACGTCTCTTCTGCTCACCATTGCTGCATTTATTTGATGAAAAATACAATAATTTTGTGAAATATTATTACAATTTAATAAAACTGTTTTTTTTTATGTAATTTATTCCTGTGATCAAAGCTGAATTTTCAGCATCATTACTCCAGTCTTCAGTGTCACATTATCCTTCAGAAATCATATGCTGATTTGCTATTATCAATGTTGAAAACAGTTGCGCTGCCTTATATGTTTGTGAAAACTATGCTACATGTTTTTTTCCAGATTCTTTGATGAATAGAAAGTTCAAATGAACAGCATTTATTTGAAATGGAAATCTTTTGTAACATGTCTTTACTGTTACGTTAATCAATTTAATGCATCCTTACTGAATCTTACTGACCCCAAACTTTTATACAGTATCTAACCACTCACATCTGAACCAACAGAGTCCTTCATTTTCACTCTAAATTCCTCCATGTCCGATCAAAGCCTCTGCAAAAAAAAAAAACCCTGCTTTTATTGCATTTTGGAATAAGATGTCACAATTAATTTCCCTTTTTGTGTGAACATTTTCTTCTACTATGAATCTAAATTAAATTAGCAAGTAACTATAAAATTAACCAGATTTTTACATTTTTCTGATGAAAATGTTTATGCTGATCGCTCATGCTAACCTTGTTAATACAAGTGGAGGGTTTTTGAGCTACAGGTTTATTAGCCTTCAAAATCAAAAACCCACTTCAAAGATATTCCAGTATCTAGATATGATTTATATAGTAATGTAGCAACTTGCCAAAAAGCCACATGCTTGCGCAGACACAAACAATGCAGGATGTGTGTGTTGAGAGTTTGTTCAGATCACTAAGTATGAGCAACAATAATAGCGGTCAGTGGCAGCCACAATATGATTGAGATATTACAGACATTAGTTATAATGAACTATGTGGTTAAAATGAAGTCTGCTAATCCAGGGCATAGCATGGGCTCTGGGGACCCATCCATTGAAACGGGCAGCCATTGACAGACAGACTGTAGATTACATCAGGGACTCTTTAGATCCCTGCGCTATAAATAAAAATAAATGACATTTGAAAAAGTGTCAAGTGCCAAGATACTACACATTCAAACTCAAAACTAGCTTCAGTAAATATTGCATTTATTAATTTAGCAAATGCTTTAATCTAAAGCATCTTACAAATGAAGAACATTACAAACCATGTCATATAAGAGCTAACTATATTTGTTGCATTGTGAAAATGCCAAGTTTAGAAACTATCAGAAACTAGCACATGCAGAAAAGAAGAGAAAGAGGACAATTTGTGTGTGTGTGTGTGTGTGTGTGTGTGTGTGTGTGTGTGTGTGTGTGTGTGTGAGTATGCGTATATAGTGCTAAAGTGTGACCCTGGACAAGTGCCAAGATACTACACATTCAAACTCAAAACTAGCTTCAGTAAATATTGCATTTATTAATTTAGCAAATGCTTTAATCTAAAGCATCTTACAAATGAAGAACATTACAAACCATGTCATATAAGAGCTAACTATATTTGTTGCATTGTGAAAATGCCAAGTTTAGAAACTATCACACATGCACACATGCAGAAAAGAAGAGAAAGAGGACAATTTGTGTGTGTGTGTGTGTGTGTGTGTGTGTGTGTGTGTGTGTGTGTGAGTATGAGTATATATTGCTAAAATGTGACCCTGGACCACAAAACCAGTCTTAAGAGTCAATTTTTCAAAATTGAGATTTATACATCATCTGAAAGCTGAATAAATGGTTGCTTTCCATTGATGTATGGTTTGTTATGATAAGACAATATTTGGTCGAGATACAACTATTTGAAAATCTGGAATCTGAGGGTGCAAAAAAATCTAAATATTGAGAAAATCGCCTTTAAAGTTGTCCAAATGAAGTTCTTAGCAATGCATATTACTAATCAAAAATTAAGTTTTGATATATTTACGGTAGGACATTTACAAAATATCTTCATGGAACATGATCTTTACTTAATATCCTAATGATTTTTGGCATAAAAGAAAAATCTGTAATTTTGACCCATACAATGTATTGTTGGCTATTGCTACAAATATACCCCAGCGACTTAAGACTGCTTTTGTGCTCCAGGGTCACATATGAGAATGATATGAATCTGGAGGGTCAGTGGTGATGCTGTTTGCCTGCTGCTCTAGGTCATGTGGCACAGAGATAAAATTACACATAACGTAATGTAAGCTGGTACAGGATGGCATTTGTAGCAGCAGCGTCTGCATTATTGGCCTCATTACAGAGGTTATGGGACTCCAACTGTTTGCCCAATGTAGAGCACTATAAACACTTTCACGCGTGATAGATAGACCTGCCAAACCGCGTCTCATGGTCTGGATGACATCTGTACACTATTAAAATACTCTCTGTCCTGGAGCGGAGATCTACAGTTAAACTGGCTACAAGTGTAGTCTACATTTTATGACCTATGAGCACAGCATTGATCACCGCACCAGCAGGGCCTGAAGAGTTTATGTATCAATGTCCATGACTTTCGAGTTTTCCTGAGCCCCAAATGCCTGATAGATGCATGAAAAGGCTGACTGGCTGATAGCGCCACAAGAAACCAGACGTTTCACTAGTGACTATCCTGATATGCAATGTCAAAACAACATAATAATAAATATTATAGTACAAATTTTACCAGTGCCAAATTATTTGTTGGCAAAAATATATAAATAAATAATAACAACAAAAAAATGTTTAAAGCAAGCTTCTCAACGTTTTTACAGAGCAGAGAAAACAAGAATATAAAATACAAAAGTAAATAATAATAATAATAATAATAACACTTAATTTTAAAGCAAGCTTCTCAATGTGCTTACAGAGAAAACAAGAATATAAAAACATAAGTAAATAATAATAATAATAATAATAACAATAATAAAGGCTCCAGCATCCCTGCAAAGCCAATAGGTAAAGAAAATAGATTAAATGATTTTATCATTGTTGTTGTTGTTATTATTATTAATGAATAATAAACAGCTTTATTTTTAAAGCAAGGTGCTTACACAGAAAAGAAGAATATAAAAACAGCAAGAAATCAAATCAAATCAAATATTTTTTGACACTGATATGACTGGGGAAAAATTATCCTATTTTAACCCTATATAAAATATATACTATAAAAACAGCATATATATAAACATATCAAAATAGCAAGATATTATCAAATAAAAGCTATCCTGAAAAACATTTACAAAATCATTTTAATTTAAGATCTATATTTTGAGAGTCTGTGTTTCTCTACCATCAGCTGGTAAAGTGATCCAATATTTTGGAGCATAAGAAATTGAGTAATTAATATTTTCCATATGTGACTAGGATCGCTGCTAGTTAAGGGTGGATAAAGCTCACCCCACCTCTTTGAGCTGAATCACATCTGAACCCAGAGCTGTTCTTTATGTGTCGTCGTTCTTTTGCTTGAAACAAATTAGAAACGCTGCAGTCTGGCTGGGACCAGAGATGGACGGGCTCGCTATTAAACGAATGCCCGGCGGTGCAGTAGAGGCACCGCATTTTATGAACCTCATCTAAAACTTCACACCGTAACCACGGCAACAACGAGAAATCTGGCCCCTGAGAACCGGCCTATAGAAAGGAGCATTTCCAAAAAGCTGTTCTGGGGTCAGTTTCGTGCTTTAACATGCAACGACAAAGCAAGGGATCGGAAGATGCTTTGTGAATGTTGCACAGCTGTCTGAGCTGAAGAAACCGTAGATGTTCTGGAGCTGCTGCAACAATACGCAGCATGACAACAGACGCTCTGCCTTCATCCAAAATGAAACTTCATCGCATTCGTAAACAAAAACAAAATGGAGGCCATCTTTGTGTCTCCGGACAATAACTAGAGTCGCGAGAGACAGATTGATTACCACAATAAATAGTGGAAAGACAGCAGACAGACTTTATCTTTTGGGAGTTGTTCCGACGGCTCTGGAAAGGCTTCTGTGAAAACAGACACAAGCTCTTGCACATTTCCTGATAATAAGAAACAGCCCACTTGTTTTGCAATTGCTGAGTCACCACCGACTGAGAGAGAATTCATTATTGTTCAAGCTTTATTAAAATCTCTCAAAGTCTCATTCCTGAGAATGAAAAAGCAGCAGGTCGTCAAAACTCATAAGCAGATTGACATTTTTGAGAAAAAAGTTTAAAGTCAGCGTACTGGGATTATTATGAAAAACTTATTCAACTCCTTTTTTTAAAGGTTGTTTTCAGTAAATTTTTTATGTTCATCAAGGCTGCATTTATTTTATTAAAATACAGTAAATACAGGATTATTGTGAAATATTATTACAATTTAGAATAACAGTTTTCTATGTGAATGTCTTTAAAAATGTAATTTATTCCTGTGATGCAATGCTGAATTTTCAGCGTCAGTGTCACATGATCCTTCAGAAATCATTCTAATGTGCTGATTTGGTGCTCAAGAAAGTATTATTACTATTATCAATGTTGAAAACAGTTGTGCTGCTTCAGAATTTTTGTGGAAACCACGATACAGGGGTTTTTCTGGACTTTTTAATGAATTGAAAGTTTAAAATAACAGCATTTAAATATTAAATAATAATATTGTCTAACATTGTAAAAGTCTTTACTGTCACTTTTGATTAATTTAATGCATCCTTACTAAATAAAAGCCTTAATTTCGGTCAGAAAATCTTACTGAAAATCCTTTCTTTTGAAAAGAACTGAACAAAACAGAAAATATGCATATAACTGCATATGAACAACAGTATATAAGCACCACTAATAATGAATGATAATGTTCATGTCTGTATTCTGCAATAGTCAGTATATATAGTATGTGACAAATGACAGAGGAAGCAAGTTTGTTTACACCAAAAAAGAAGAGGAAATGCCCACAGTTCATAACTTCATATTTTGACAATTATAAATCCAAACCTGCTGCAAAAAATATAAACTGTGATTGTGAGGGTGGAAAAGAGAACGAGACGTACCTTTCTTAGCATTGGCCATTCTGGCAAAAATCAGGACCAAACTCAAGAAAAGCTTCTGTTACGGCCTCATCGCAGATGACATCTGACCTCAAAACAACCCTGAGAAAGACGGAAAGAGAAACACAAAAAAGGAATCAATAAACAGAAGCTGATAGTGTGAGAAATACAGAGACAGCGGATATATATATATATATACAGAAGATCTGTAAAGTTGCAAAGACTAAAGTCTCAAATCCAAAGAGATATTCTTTATAAAAGTTAAGAGTCAGCCACACCTACCTAAAACAGCTAGTTCGAACACGCCCCCACATATCTACCTCACTATGTGGAAAGATTTGCATAACACCTCCCAAATGTTCACGCAAAGAAAGAAGGCGTAACTTTTATTCTCGCTGTAGTATTGTTGCCGCAGCCATGTCGTGAAGGCGCACTGTGTGTTTCGTTGTGAAAGCGAAACTACTTTGTTTGGTCTTCCAAAAGAGGACGATATCTGCTTCGTCATGCCTGGAGTTGATCCGTGCTGGTCGCTGAGGAAATACATAAACTTTGCGCTGTGGATCGCCGGATCGGCTTTCACCGTGGACGAAGCAAAGTCCAGCTCGGGGTCGATACATGTGGTTGCCACAAGCCCACCGGACGCTCCTTCGTTGAATCCTCCGGCCGCGCCATTCTCAAGCCCGCCGCCGCTCACTCTAGGCCGCGGTGTGTGACGCTGTGTGTTTCGTTGTGAAAGTGAAACTACTTTGTTTGGTCTTCCAAAAGAGGACACGACTAGAAATCAGTGGAATTAAGTTGTATTTACAACATTGTTCCAGAACAATTCAACCAAAATATTCAGATGTGTGCAGCGCATTTTTATGGAGGACTGTTTCCTGATCCTGGGAGGCTTGAGGTATTTGGCCAATCACAACGCACTGGATAGCTGGCCAATCACAGCACACCTCGCTTTTTCAGACCGATGAGCTTTGTAAAAATCAACGTGTTTCAGAAAGGCGGGGCATAGAGGAGAAACAATAATGTACAGTATGTGGAAAATAATGTTTTTTTTTACTTTAAACCACATAACATTTCATTACACCAAATAATGATATTTTTAGCAACATCATATGACCCCTTTAACCTTTTGCATATTAACCAAAGACATGCCATAAAAAAATTGAACTATCTCTCGCTCTCTCTCTTTCTATATACCTGTATATACATATCAAATAACACATTTTGTGTGTTATTCCATATTAAATAAAATAATGCAATAACTAATTTTTTGTGCATCCAAAGCAACAAATACTTTTTTTTGTACACCAAATGTTACAACAAAGTTTTTGGACCATCCCTTAAGGTCTGATATCTACAATATAGTGAGATTCCTGCAAATGCTCTATAATGCTGAAGATAACATGCCAGAAATGTTTGAGGTCATTATCAGCTTCATACACTGGAAACAGACTGTGGTCTTGTTGTAAACTACAAGCCAAGACCTAGATCCACACCAAGACACTGAGTAATGAGACCCCAACCCATACTAGACCCCATGAGACCAGACTCAGTCCAAGATTAGACCGCTCGGGGCCCAGACCTCAAAACAGACCAGATGAAGGAATGTTCAGTAGACGGGATGTTATGCATGCAGTGGATTCGGATGTGCCTTGATGACTTCCATCTTTCAGTTTCTGTTTGAAAAGTCAGCATTTTAAAATTTCAGTCTTTGGTCTTTTTTATCGCTCTCCCTTTTTCCTCTGGATGGGGAATGTGCTTTTATCTGATCTCTCTTTCTGCAACTCATTAGATAAGCTCCAGAACTTCGATGAACGAATATGCAGGGACTTTCTAATTCACTAGGGATTCATATACATCAAGACATTGCGTTAAACTTGTCTAGTATTGTTCGGTAAAGTCCATCCAATCTACTGTCAAATCAAAGACGTACTGCGAGAGCAGGGTGTCAGATGTTAAATAAATGCACATCGGCGAGGAGAAAGCTTGATGACATAATTAAGTGGCAGAGAGCTCAGATCATAATCGCAGCAGACATTCAGCACTGCAAAATAAAAGCAAAACATTCTCATTGCTATTCTGATTTCAACAGAACACTCAATAGTAGCAATTTTTCTGCCTCTCTATCCTAATAATGAAAGATAAAGAAAGTGGATAAGTGGTGCTTTTTCAAGGTGCATCACTATTTCTTTTGCTCATGCTTAGGGTTAGTGATCTGAACAAGCCCCTAATTGTAAGCATCAAATAGTGTGTATTGCTTTGCTAAGCAATCAGACTTACATACAAACAGACAAAACCATCATGGAGACTTGTGGATGGGCTCTTTTAATTTAAGCCAGCAAGTAACCACCTAGCAACCACTCAGAGTACCCTAGCAACTGCTAAGCAACACCCTGGCATCATAGCAGTGAATTTTGCATGGCATTTTGCTAATTTTTTGTGCACTAATAACTCATTTGTGTGCACCAGTAACTGACTTGTGCACCAAATGCAATAACTATTTTACTGCATCGAATGCTAAAACTAATGTTTTTTTGTGCATCAAATGCAATAGCAATTTTTTTGTGCACCAAGTGCGACAACTAATTTTTTGTGTACCAAATGCAATAACTATTTACTGCATCGAATGCTAAAACTAATGTTTTTTTTGTGCATCAAATGCAATAACTAATTTTTTTGTGCACCAAATGCAATAACTATTTTTTGTGCACCAAATGCAATAAAAAAATGTTCTGCACCAAATGCAATAACCATTTTATGTTCACCAAATGCTATAACTAATCTTTCGTGCACCAAGTATAATAACTACATTCCACTTTTCAAAGGGTGTGGTTGCTAATTCCAAATTCCACAAAATACACCTGCTGCCCTTTTCGCAGTCAGTCCATTTACTTTAATATTATACATTATAACAGGCCCCATGAAAGCTGAAGGTATGAAGACTCAGGATGGATAACACAGTTAGGAACATATCCTGTTAATTTTACAGTAAAAACCCTGGCAGCTGTGGTCTTTCATTCTCTTTCTCTGTTCTATTTCTCTATTTACTTTCACAAATGATCAAATTAATCTAGAGTGAGAAGTGCAGAAATAATGGACAATTGCTCATGCAATATTTCCTTCTTTTCTCCACTACAACATGACCAGAAATCTAATGTCAAACCACACAGATTTCCCTCCATCTCTACATCACACACTTTGGCTGAAGTGACAATCAGTGGCGCAACAGATATGAACCAGTTCCAGTCTGTACTAACATGGCACAGAGTGACAGAGAGAGAGAAAACTGGGTCAATGTCTCATATGGATTGCTCTAACAAGGACATTTATGGGCTATGTTTATGTCATAACCCTTTAAACCAAAACATATTCAACATGCATCTTAATCCAGAAAGCCATGCCATTCCGCAGGAGAATCTGCTGTGGCTTGCTCTCATGCATTCTTCACAAATTGTATACTGCGATTTTCCTGAGGCAAATAAATACCTTTGGGAAGCTTGACATATAGTATGTCCCATGCAAGTGTTCTCATTTCAAATGCATCCTATAAATCTCTTTTTTCAGCATCTTTACAGTCAATGCCATTCAGTCTGTTGCCTTACAAATCTTCTCGAGACCTCTTCTAATAGTCGTGCACAAACTTATGCAACATCGATCATTTTCAAAAGCAAATTGCTTGAAATACTCACCTATTCTCACTTGTAACGGGCTTCTGCTGCTGTAGATTTCAGTCTAAAATCGCGCGTCGATCCTCCCAGGATTCTACAGAAATGAACCAGAACCAGAACCAGAAGCGCAAAACCCAAAGCTCCAGTTAGAACCAGGCGAGTGCTGATCTGCGAGCGAGCGCTCGACTTCACTTTCACTGAAGGGCTACAACATCCGCGTTAATCACGTGGTTTCAGTTGCTGCACTACAGCTGAGGGTTTATAGAGCCTGTAAATGTCTTTTGAGTGGTGGTTGGAACTTTTGATTCCACTTTTGATTTGATTTGAAATTGATTTTGAGGAGTAAGCATAATCATAAGTGCTTACACATTAATTACAACAAGGAAGATATCTTCTGAGAATGACTTAAAATATTAAAAATAACAATAATAGCCTAAATGAATTGGTTATTGGACATTTTAACACATTCATCATTCTTCTCATCATGCACATCTCACATAATGACCTAAACCAGGGCTGTCCAAACTCAGTCCTGGAGGCCCAGACGACCTGCAGAATTTAGCTGCAACCCTAATTAAACACACCTGAACCAGCTAATCAAGGTAGGCTACACTTGAAACTTCCAGGCAGGTGTGTTGAGGCAAGTTGGAGCTAAACTGTGATGAAAAATGTGTGCCTTTTTTATCGTTTGAGTCACTTATCAAAAGTTGCTAAATGTTGCCAAATAAATTTTAATCAATAGCTACATTTGTTACTAGGTGCTTTTGGAAGAAAAAGTTGCTAGGGTAGTCTGAAAAGTTGCTAAATCTAGCAACAAAATTGCTAAGTTGGCAACACTGGTTTCAGAACCGCAGCCACAGAACCGGAAGTGAGGGGAGGAGTTATTAACAATGAGAGCGCACAGTGAGTAGTCTGTAATGTTTTTGCTATCATATGTTTAATAATTATCGAATGTATTACGTTAAGCATTTATCTGCTAAGTACTTAATGTGTGCTTGCCTTTATTATCTTATATTGAAGCTTGAATTTGTTGTCATACTTTATAGTATATAACTTTTTTCTGTGGATGTTTCGAGGAATTTTCGGATGCATGCTGTAAATGGGCCTTGAGGTTTGTTATTCATAAAAATAAATAGTTTGCTTTAATTCCCTCTGTTATATGCATTGTTTGTGTGTTAATATTACCTTGTAGTTTAATTAATTTAATCCTATTAGTCATCACTGAGATAATTGTGTGTGGCTTCATCTCTTGTAGAGACATATGGATTCAGAGAGGTAACGCATTACCTGAGCTGCAGCACTGCAACGAGTGTTACAGCCAGTGTTGGGGTAACTCATTAAAAGTAACGCGAGTTATGTAATCAGATTACTTTGTCAAGTAACTAGTAAAGTAACGCATTACTTTTTTAATTTACAAGAAAATAGCTGAGTTACTTTTTCAAAAAAGTAATGCCAGTTACTTTGTTTTCCCATTTATTGACTGACAGCTCTCCTGTCCCCATATTGGGAGAAATCGGGAGTACAGAGGAATTGTGTGCGCTGTGTGAACCTGATGTTACTGTAGTTCTAGACTAAATGTGAATGTGCATTAATTCATCCCACTCACAAAAAACAGATTTAGTGTTCATCAAAATGAATTAAAACAGTGAACTGCAAACTCAGAATATGACGCAAACCTGCAATAATTACATATGTTAAATAACACAAATGTATCTAATCCCATTTTATTAACCGATGTCTTTGCTGCTGATCCAGTTCAACCATACTAATAAGCAAAAATGACTTTAGATCAACTAACAATTGTGCTTTGTTTTGTTATTGCTGAAGAGTGTTTCTTCTCCTGCGTTCTACTGTACAGACCTGAATTTACTT